TCACAGAGTCTGGTACATTCCTTTCCTGTGGACAGAGCACCCAGCTCTATAGCTTGTGCATGACATTCAGTTCAGATACATCAGTGGGAACTGAATACTACTGTCCAAAAGAGCTGCTAGCTCAGCTGAAGAGGTTAAAGAACATAAAATGCCTCTTTCTTTTCTGTCTTCGATCACCTATACATGTGCCAGATGTTTGCTCTGATGCGTACTAACATGTGCTAATTGAGTCAGAGCAGATCTGATTAACTGAGTTAATTAACACGCACCAGCAACCTCCTGACACACCTAGTCAGCATCCACACACTTCAAAATGACAGCAGGGGCACTTGAACTAAAGCTTGTCAAATGAGCTTTAGTTCAAGTCCCCTGCCACCATTTTGAAGCATGGGACACCGAATGCATGATGTTGCAGGTGCTTTAATTAGAGTGGCTGCTCTAATTAAAAAGTGTTCCCACCACACCCTTGAGTATGTGTATAGATGTCCTTATAGTCTAGTCCCAAATAAAAAAAATCATCTAGCAACTCTCCCTGCCTAGGTCAGCCCCCCTTTGGGGAAGTACTGTTTTGCTGCCTTTGCCAATGTTTTAGCGATGGACTAAGCAAAGATGATCATGGGTTTCACAAGATGAAAGGGGTTAACTCCTCTTCTCTTGACCTGATTCCAGAGTTACCTCCTGCCCCTCTGTATTCCTATTGCTATGTCTGACTAAGTTGCCTACATACCCCTAACAAGATGCTGCAGTCTGTAGTCCTGATTTTTCATAGTCAAATACTTCTGTACAAAGTGGGGGCCAGACCCCAGCATTGAATCTGGGGGACAAAAGGCTTCAACTTGGTTTTATCTCACACAGACTTTATACAACTGCAAATGACTAAGGGCATGGGTCCAGGAACAGCTCACTACAAAGTGGGCAGGGGGCTTTATAGTGCATCCATTTCTCTGCTTTAACTACCTGTATGTACAATCTTATCCTGCAACAAATGGAAACAAACCTGAAGCAGCTTAGTCCACAGTGAAGAAAAAGTAAGGTACTGCTGGTTCACTTTACCATAGCAGGATGAGAACATACACATGGACAGTTACTGCAGTGGATGCTTTGTAAAATCCTCACCCTCTTTTGTCCTGTGGTAATCTGTTCCTGTGCCCATGTCTTCTACCAGCTGCTCCCAGACCATGAAGTATTGGGCCTCTTGTGAGTACAGTGTAAATACAGGCCAATTTAACCCTCCTCTACACTCAGCTAATCCCCTAAATAGCCAGACAGGGGTCAGACAGAATGTAACTGAGAGTAGCACTTGGCATAAGTCGTAAGGCACTTCGGGGTCTTCCAGCTGAACAGTGCCACATAAAATGAGAGACATTATCAATTATTGTTATTGCTGTTGTATATTCAGTATGGCATCTTAATTTCCATGTATGGCCTTATATATGGGAATCTCCCAAGGAACATGGAAGATGAACACAGATGTGTAAAACCAGGCGAGAGAAAGGGCTAGTAAGGGAAGGGTAGGAACTACCATATTTTCTTGAATCTAAGATGACCCTGAATGTAAGGCAACCCCCCAAATAATTAGGTTCTATATAGGGGAAAAATTATAAATGTTACAATTTTCCAGAGGCGACAACTGGAAAATTAAGCACCACAGACAAAAAAGGGTCCCATCAGCATTTTTTGGATCAGGGGAGGGCATCAGAGCTCACTTCAGCTTCTTGGAGTGCTGGCTCAGAGCTCGTTCCCCTTTGGGGAGTAATTGCCTAGTTTTTTTGTTTTGTTTTTAGGGGGTTGTTTGTTTTTTTAAATAACCGCCGCCCCCCCCCCCCCCC